TCCTTTCCCTTATTACACACCATGGACGCTGACGGAACAAATGTAATTACAGTGGATGTTGATGAGGAGAGTCAACATCACATGCAACTGGCCAGCATTCGTCAGTCGCCGTGGTTGCAGGTGACTCATGAGGCCAACGTGAAGATAGGAAAGGCACCTTGATATTTTTTCTGACCCCTTTACTCACCTGAACCTTCCACTAACCGTATAGTTTCCCTTGCCTTTTCTCTCTTCGAAGCCTAGATGCCTCACCCTTACCGTCTAGGAGAGAAGGGAAGGAGGGAGAGAGAGAGAGAGAGAGAGAGAGAGAGAGAGAGAGAGAGAGAGAGAGAGAGAGAGAGAGAGAGAGAGAGAGAGAGAGAGAGAGAGAGAGAGAGAAAGAAAGACAGAGACAGAAAGAGAAAGAAAGAAAGAAAGAGAGAGAGAGAGAGAGAAAAAAGAAAGAGAGAATCAAGCACTCACCAGTACATATCGTCATGGGAGACAGCCTCCCCGCCCGCCTCCACGACCTGGGCCAGGCGGGCGGCCTCCGTCAGCCAGTCCTCGTCGTCGTGCATGTACCCGCCGACGGTCCTGTGGGCGCGACAGGTTTTATCTCCAGTTTAAGTGAATGTGTATTTTGCGGATGTTAGAGGAATAGATGGAGATCAAGATTAAATACGCTTATAGATTGATAAATAAACTAATGGATGTATATATACTTACACACACACACACGATATATATATATATATATGCATATATATGTATGTATGTATGAATGTATGTATATATATATATATATATATATATATATATATATATATATATAATATATATATGTATATATATAGATAAAACAGATGACCAAATAAAATGAACAAATGAATGAGCAAAAACAAAGCACAAATAACGGAATTAAATCGGACGAACGAGCGACGGCCGCACCTGGTGAACACGGTGATCTGCGGGCGGTCCTGGATGGTGACCAGCTGATCGTTGGGCGCGGGCGGGCTGGCCTGGTGATCCTCGCCGATGTAGAAGCACATCTCGTAGGCGTTGCTGAACTCGCCCATGGTGACCTGGGTCGTCACGGGCGCCCCCATGGCCAGTCTCTCTTCTGCGGGGGGGAAGTCGGGTCAAAGGTCACTGCCAACAAGGTCTGTGTAATGTCTTTGATTCTATGCAGTGCGCTGGTTGTATGATTTGGTTTATAATTCGTCAAAAATAGTTTCAATAGAGTTTCAATATGCCATGTCTTTGTTTATTTTACTTCTTTGTTATGCCATGTCTAAGCTGCAGCATGAGAATTACATAATTGAATTCACGTAAAATATGCGATATAGGCCTACAAACAATCGCTGATAATCATCGCCTGTAAAATCTGTCCAATGTGCAATCGTTCAACGCCGCATCTAAAATTACTTAAGTATTCGCTTATTTTTCTCCCGTTTTCTATAATCTCCTTCCCACCCAGTCTACGCCTAGTGACGTCATAGGCCTATCACCCAGAGCTGCAGCAGAACTCCGAAGTGACGAGACCTGTACTTATAGACCTTAGCTGCGAAGGGGTGGGGGAGACGAGGCCGGGGAAGAGGTATGAGTGAGGATGAGGCTCTCGAAATCCACATGTAGGCTTACCCTCTTGGCCGGGAGCAAGAGAAGACCCAAGACAAAGGGCGTTGTATGCAGAGTTCACTGTGTGTGTGTGTGTGTGTGTGTGTGTGTGTGTGTGTGTGTGTGTGTGTGTGTGTGTGTGTGTGTGTGTGTGTGTGTGTAGTGTGTGTGTGTGTGTGTGTGTGTGTGTGTGTGTGTGTGTGTGTGTGTGTGTGTGTGTGTGTGTGTGTGTGTGTGTGTGTGTGTTGTGTGTGTGTGCGTGTGCGTGTGTGTGTGTTCGTGTGTGTTCCATACTGTTCGTTCGGGTACAGTGAACAACATCAGAGTCACATTATCCACCATTCCTACCCGACCAAACACCATGAAACAAAAAAAAAAAAAAAAATCCTAACCTACCCTAACCCAACCTTCCAAGACCCAAGATTCCCCAAAGGATTTACACCCCCCCCCCCCAAAGAGCCCTTAAAACAGACGAAAGGGAGACTCTCACGCATGTCGTTGTTTCCCCTGATGTATCTGTACAGCCTCTTGAACATGGCCCTGTCCCTGTCGTCCTCGTCTTCAGCATCGCCAGTGTCGCCGTGCAGCAGACCCCACTTGCGGGCGGGGTATGTCCTCTCCTCGTAGCCCTGGGGGGGAGGGAGGAGGGGAAGGGTGAGAGATGGAGAGAGGAGGGAGGGAGGGAGGAGGGAGAGAAAAGGGAAGAGAGGGAAGGAAGGAGGGGAGGAGAGAGGGAGATAGAAAAGAGGGAGGAGAGAGAGAGAGACGAGAAAGGTGGCTGAGAGAAGTAGATATGTACAGAGAAAGAGAGACAGAGAGGCAGACGACAGAGACAGAGAGAGAGAGAGAGAGAGAGAGAGAGAGAAGAGAGAGAGAGAGAGAGAGAGAGAGAGAGAGAGAGAGA